ACTGCTAGTAATTCATTCGATGGATTTACTCCAACCTAAATACTCCAAAGCTGACACTGAAATTCTATTTTAAAACTGGCTGTCTCCAATGAAGGCAATTGCTTTATTCCAGATTTATTTTCTTGCAAGAAGAAAAGACCTATTACAAACTTCACAGGCAAGGCATTAATTTGGCCCTCATATGATACAATGTCAAATAGAAATGTGCAATTTTAAAATAAAACAGCTGCCTTCCAAATAATGCACTTTGTCTGTGTCTACCTTGTCAAGGTGTGACAAGCAAGTGTGCTATCAGCAGGTATAAGATTACAGTTTATATTACTGAACAAGATATGAGCAAACTGTTTCAAATAAGATAACATACAGATTCTGGTTGAAAACTCAATGGGATTTGTTACAGTCCTCTTGGAGATACTGGACTAGAAAGTCATTCGATCATTGTATCAAGATCTGTTTTTCTGGAACAGAAAATTGAGATCTGTTATTCTGTTTGTGCTGAATTCGAGAAGGTTTTCTAGATCTGCACTCAGATGAGAGGTCAGCCTTCTATATATTTTGTGGAGGTGCTGCCAATTGCATCCCTTCTCACCTCAAAGGCACACTTACATGGTCTTCCACCCTTCTACAAGGTCTAGGAAAGACAGATAGAAAGTCACAAGTCTCAAGCATTATGATGCCCCTGAAAACTCCACAACATTCCCTTCCATGGAGATGCCTCCATTTTCAGGTTACAATTTGCCTAGGCCTTTCCTTCTCCATCTGAGAAGCCTATTCAGAGGCACAATGTGTGATCAGCCTCCTAACTGCTCATCTCATTATTAATTGGAGGTCTCAGGATGTGCCATTTCTTCATGATCTAGGTGTTTCCAAATCCTGAAGTAAATACTATCTAAAAACTCAAAACCTTATCCCAGTATTTTAATGCAACGAAACCCATGTGAATTAACAGTCTACAGAAATTGTATCAGTGGTAATTCAGTGAACCTTCCTCCCCCGACACATAAAGTATTAAAACCTTCAGTGAAAAAGACTGAAATTCTGCTTACAAATGTTGATAGCTTATTCTCTCACCTCTGTGTTTCTTTCTAATAAATGCAGGTGGTGCCTTTCATGCTAATGGGAAGGTTTCATTTTAATGGTTTATGCTTAACAAAGTTGTATATGAAACAAGTTTTTGTTACAAGAAGAGTTAAATATTTCAAATTTTGGTCCAACAATAACTTCACATATAAAATTTTCTTATTTGGGGAAGTTAAAGTATTTTATTTTCTTTAATTGCTTAGGATTAAAACAGAAAACAAGTTATATTAAAAATAGTTATGAAGTCTCTGTTGCATTCATTAAAAATAATGAGAAATTAAGAAATCCCATTTTATAAGTTGCACATAATATTCATAAAATTTATGACTGTTACTAACATCTCTGACAATTTGACCACATATATTTTTATCCATTTCAACCTTGATAAATTTCCTGTTTCTGAACATAAAAGTAATCTAGCTGATGTTTATGTATCTTTTGTGTTTTATCTAGGTGTTTAATACCAGCTCCTATATAATTTTTGTGCAGTTCCATTTTCCCATTTGTGCTACTTTTTTGATCTATCTGGCTCATAGGAAATTCTGTGCATATCACAGGTGTACACTTCAGAGTCTAGAAGTATTCTAATGGAGATTTTGCTTTAACAAGGCCAGAAGAAACTATCCCAGTAGTACTGTAGCAACAATAGTAACAATCTTTAAGAATCCATAGTGAAATAGCTCACTAATGTATTGAACATCTGCTCCATTGCAGGTTTACACTTTTTTCTTTGTTTTAACTAAAAACCTTAAGACTAGTAAATGTATGAAAAATTAGACCTGAAGTTCAATAAATCTGTTGTGACTACCATGTAAGATTTGGAATCTGAGAAGCAAGCTTTCAAAAATTACCATGTCTTTGCTATCCTTATGATTAATACATATGCTTTTCCTGGCAAATATTTATTTATCATGCAATTGAGAACACTCAGGAATTGCAAATAGAATATGGTGCCTGAATGTGAATAATGTGTAGGTATATATATTTAAGAATTATTTCCTTGTGTTAAGAACTGGGTCCAAACCTTAATCTAACACTGAGTTATAGCGCATGGTCTCTACACAACTTTGCTTAGATCTAGGGGAAGGTTGGGGAAGTAATGTAGGTAAATTTGGGAGATGGTAGGATATAATAGAATATTGAACTCTGACTTTAATTAAAATGCTGTCATTTATCTCACAGTGACTATCTGATATTTCTAAGATATTTCCTTCAGCTACTGTTTTGCTTGGAGCTGACTCAGAGAATACAATACATAGGAAAATCATGACAAATCATATGATAATCAAAAGACTGAATTTCAAAGTGGAAGATATTTTCCTTGTGGTTTGTTTTGGGGTTTTTTTCCATATTCACCAATTTTCTCCCCTTGAAAACAAATTTCATAGAATCATTCAATGTTTTGGAATGGAAAGTATCACTAAAGACCGCCAAAACCAAAGGTTCTGCTATGGGTAGAGAAATCATTTAGTAAAACAGGTTGCCCAAAGCCCTGTCCAATCTTCAACACTTCCAAGCACAGAGCTGCTCTGTGGAACGTCTTCCATTGTCTCACCAACGTTATCAAATTTCCTCCTCATTGTGAATCTAAATCTTTCCTCTTACAGTTTAAAAACATTGCTTCTCCTCTCAGTCGAATTTATGTTTGTGCTGTTTTTAAAATGGTGAACAGTCTTTAATCACTTGCTGAGGGTAACTCTTCCTCTTCGTCCAGCTCACTGGTGACATTCCCAACTGTATTTTGCAGCTTATTTTGTCAAACACATAGTTTGCACTCTCCAAACATGGGTAAGGAATTCTTAAAATTTATAGTTTTCGAGGTGACATGATAATCTGAAAAAAAGTCTTATTCGTACTTCTTTCATCCTTTGTTATGCTGTTGTTTGGATAACAGATGTTTGGTTGTTTATGAAAGGGATTTGCTGCTTAAAGTTGCCTACTCCATTGTTGGGTTTCTAATTTATCTTACTCTTTTCCTTTTATTTTATTTTCTTTTATTCTATTTTTTGCTTATGACTATTCCCTTCACAGGCATATAAGCACTCTTCTCCCTGATGTAAAGAGACTAAGAATTCATGAATCAGTGGAGGCAATCTGCCTAATTTCTTGCAGTGCCCTTAAGATCTTTGGTTCTCACAACGTAGCAACTTCCAGATCTATGCAGGAGAGACTTTTTGCAGTGTAACCGACTTAATGATTTTGTACTGTGTTTTTATTAATTTGGATTACATTTTCAAGGATTTACAATATACTTCCTCCAAATACACAAATACGCAACTTTGTTTTTTAAAAAAAACAAACCAAAAATTTATGATAATATTTTGAAGATTTTCACATTGAAATGAAAAGCAATTAATAAGATTGTATTTTTTTTTTTTTATTTTCTTGGACTTCATTTTTCTCTTATTTTTCCAAAGAGGAGAAATTTAGAAGTTTCTTAATTATTAATCTTCAGTCCATAATTTATATAATTTTTGGCTCCTTAAGAAAGGAAAAAAATTGGAAAATAAATATTGGAACACAACAATCACTGAAAAAATGCTACTGGTCTAAAAAAGAAAATAAGACAGCAAAAAACCAGTAAATCCAATCTGCACTAGTCTGACACAGAAACAAAGACTTAACTCTCATAACTGTAATTTCTTCTCTTTTAATAATTTATAATTAATCCTATTATTACCTATTCACATTGACTTTGAAGAAGATACTTTTAAATGTGAGTTCCTCCTGTTAATGTTCTCAGAGCATTTGCAATCCTATCATTTATATATTGATTTTTTTCCCATCCTATGCACTGTGTGAGGGGATTCAATTTGGTCTGGGTTTGAATTACTGAACGTCGTCACGTTGAGGAACACCCTCGTGCCTCTGGGCCTGTCCTGCAAACTCCCGACACTCTTCTTTCTCCCACAGAGAGAGAGAGGACCAGCACCTGGCAGAGACAGCGGCGTTCCTGCACAGGGACTCAGCACTGACAGCCGCCATGTGCGACAGGGAGCAGGAGGGCCCTGATAGCAGGGAGCCAGGTGAGGGCAAAGCAGCCCTCCCACAGCCTGGCCCACGGCCTGTTGGAGTGGCCAGCGTGGGACCCAGAGCAGAGGCTCGGGGGAGGCAGGAGCTGTTCAGCCAGGCCGGGGCTGGAAGCCTTCTTCTTCCCCAAGTGGGGCCCAGCTGGGCCAGGGGGCAGCTGTTGGGACCCCCGTGCCCGCAATGGCCGCTGCTCTCCAAGACCTCCAGCCCTGCCCATCAGCCAGGCACGCAGGCAGGGACAGAGCAGCCCTTGGGGCTGATGCTGTGGGCTGAGAGCCCCACAGAGCTGCTCATGCCTGCTGCCATTGGCTCTGTCCCCTGCAGCATGCGTGCTGTGTCACTGCACAGAAGCCAACCTCTGTGCTTCCCCAGGCACTGGTAAGTGCCCCTGTGCTGCTCCTGCACTGCCCAGGGCCCCCACGGGTATTACTCGTGCCTGACAGCAACCAGCACCAGCGGGGAGTGTGAGAGCTCTGCTGCTCTGGGCACAGCTGTCAGGCCAAGCCCCCTGGGCAGGGTCAGTGTCCAGGTTGGTCTTGGCAGAGCCCGTAGGCTCCTGGAGGGCTGGGGACGGCCCAGGATAACACTGCTCCAGGATGGACTGGCCCAGGCCTGGGAGGCCTTTGACATTCCTGTTTGGCCTCAGAGCCTCCAGGGCTGAGCCGGAGCTCAATGGCCCCAGCCTGACCGGACAGTCAGGACTGGAGTCTTCCTGTGGCTCCCCAGAACCTGAGACCATCAGCATCAGCTCGGAAACACTGCCTAACAGGGTTTGCCAGTATTTTTTCCTGTTAGATCCTTAAAGGGATTTAAAAGGTAAGGTTGTTTGGCAGATTCGTCAAGGAACAAATAAGACAAGATTATTTTCAAGAAAAGGTTTATTAGTTTGGGTTCAGTTTCCGTATGGAATTCTTATGCTTCCTTAGACGATCCAGAAATTAATGAAAATCTAACATATTCCTAGGAGAAGTTTTTGAATCCACTACTGGGAAAAGTCTCTAAATTCACTGTTTCTCTTAAATACTTCCCGTACATATAGTTAGGTATCTGCTCCTGTAACACACAGAGATGCAGTGGTTTACCTGGTTGGACATCACATGATGTTACACACACCAGTATACTAACAACCTTTTGTTCCCTGACAGTTACAAAGTTTCAGGCTCTTCTGGAGGTCCTGAATTAATTTTACATGCACATTCATAGCCGTGTTCCCTCCCATGCTCAGCGTTCAGCCACAGTTACCAGGGAACAGACATTCCATACACACCTTAAGCAATAATCTACGTCTGTCTTCCCAACCCTCTTTTTCTCCACTATGTTCATGTGGAACGGTATGATCCAAAATGTCTCAGTAACCTGTCTAATGATTATTTTTTTGCTAAGCTCTAAAGGTTCCTATAGCTATGAGGCAATTATCTGAAAGAAAGGAAAGCCAGAAAGCTGCTCAGCCTTTATATTTTACCAGGACTGTCTCATGGGATTCTACCACAACTTTGACCACAAGTAAGGATGGCAAATTTTGACTACAGAGCATTCATAACTAGGCAGCATTTTTTCCTCCTTACTCAAGGCCAGTAAGGGTTTAAAAGGGAAAAATATACAAAAGGGGCTGAAGAAGTTGTGTCGTACCTCTTAGGTATTCATCATCTATGGAGAGCTCTCCTGATATACAAAATAACTTTGGGCCCTCTGCACAAAACAAAACACAACACCAATCAATAGGGTTCAACACTTCTGATTCTGCTGCTGCTTCCAACAGTCATGAATGAACAACACAACAATAAAGTCAGAAGCTCTATTCTTCACATCCTTCCTATTCTCTTGCCCCCCACCACATGTCGGCTCCAACAGAAATATTTCCTACTGTAGCCTGGTGTACTAAGAAAAATGAAAGGCAGCAGCTGTCTCCCTGAACATGCTGAAATCTAAATTGCAGTGAAACAGCAGCTGTTTCATTAAATGCTCAGCAGCAGGATCCCACAGCTCCCCCCAGAAGTGCTGCCTGCCAAGGGCTGAGATCTCCATTTTAACACACCCCGCAAATCTGACAGGCTGGAAGATTGCAGGACAGTAACGGTATGAACACAGCCATACATTTCATCAGTGTTATCTAACAAGTCTCAAGAAACGAACGTCATTTAAGCCTGTCTTGAGACTATATTCTACAAAATATAACAAGCAATTGTTTTGGTGACCTGTGTAATTTTTTGGGGCTTTGTATGTTTTCTTTTGTTGTTATTGTCTTTGTTTTTAAATAGAAAATTCACTGAGTTCAGAAGAGAAAGGCCCAGATTCATTAGGATGAAGAACCGCATGGACATATGTAACGGACAAGAACACTCAGCATTCCAAATGGTAACACCAGAAAGACAGGGAAAAGTTAAAGATGATATACCTACCTGAAGGGATCCAAAATGTCTCAGTAACCTGTCTAATGACAATTTTTTTGCTAAGCTCTAAAGGATCCGATGGCTATGAGGCAATAATCTGAAAGAAAGGAAGGCCCTGAACCCTAACCCTAACCCTAAAACTAACCCTAACCCTGACCCTAAACCCTAAACCTAACCCTAACCCTAACCCTAACCCTAAACCTAACCCTAACCCAACGCTAACCCTAACCCCTAACCCTAAACCTAACCCTAACCCAACGCTAACCCTAACCCCTAACCCTAACCCTAACCCAACCCTAACCCTAACCCTAACCCTAACCCAAACCGTAACCCTAACCCTAACCCTAACCCTAACCCTAACCCTAACCCTAACCCTAACCCTAACCCTAACCCTAACCCTAACCCTAACCCTAACCCTAACCCTAACCCTAACCCTAACCTAACCCCTAACCCTAACCCTAACCCTAACCCTAATCTGAAAGAAAGGAAGGCTCTGAAACCTAACCCTAACCCTAAAACTAACCCTAACCCTGACCCGAAACCTAACCCTAAACCCTAAACCTAACCCTAACAATAAACCTAACCCTAACCCTAACCCTAACCCAACGCTAACCCTAACCCCTAACCCTAACCCTAACCCTAACCCTAACCCTAACCCTAACCCTAACCCATAACCCTAACCCTAACCCTAACCCTAACCCTAACCCTAACCCTAACCCAAACCCTAACCCCTAACCCTAACCCTAACCCTAACCCCTAACCCTAACCCTAACCCTAAACCCTAACCCTAACCCTAACTCTAACCCTAACCCTAACCCTAACCCTAACACCAGAGCACTGCCCCCAGCCCTCCAGGAGCCCATGGGCTTTGCCATGCCCAGCCTGGGCACTGGCCCCAGCCCAGGGACACCCGGCTGCTTTGCCTCATACCTGTGCCGAGACCAGCACAGCTGTCACACTCCCAGTGTGTTGTCCTCACTGTTAGGCCAGAGCAGCGCCTGTGGGTGCCCTCAGCAGCACAGGAGGAGCACAGGAGCAGCTCCCAGGGCCTGGGGAAGCAAACAGGTGACGGCTCTGAAGACAAAGTGTCCCAGAACAGGATTGTCCAGCTGAGCTCTTCTGGCTCCTTCTGCTTTGAGCCCTTCCCGAGACACAGGTTCCCTGCAGAGCCACGGGTGCAGCTTCCCAACTTACCCCTCTTCCTCTGCCTCCTCCCTGCCTCTTGGGTAAAGGCATTCCCTGGCATTGCACCTCCCATGCCTCTCTCCTAGATCCGCAAAGGCATTGTTGTCCTCTGATGTTGGCTGTCTGATGGAGAAAGGAAAAGCTGATGTGTTTCTGCTGCCCTGCCCTCACAGAGATAGCAGGGTGACCCTGCTCTTCATCCAATGCTTTTCCAAGTTCCCTGAGAAGTCCCCTGAGAAGTGGAAGTCCAGACTCCCTGGATGGGACAGGGCCTGGACTGCAGGGGCAGGGCCTGGCACAGCACAACACTTGCACCCTCCTGTCTTCTGAGACATGCAGAAGGACACCAACCTGATGGGGATTTGGATCCCCATGACAAACATTTCCACAAGGAACGTCTCATGATCTCTGCAGAGAGGGCAGCGGAAGTACAAAAGACCAGCACACAAGGCCTGTCCCTGCAGGGCAAAGAGAAGCAGTGTGAGCCAGGCCCTGATGCTGCTGAGCACCTGCTGTGTCCCAGGTCTGAGGGCATGGCTCCCACCTGGAGGCAGTCCCTGTGGAACCGGGCTCTTTTGCACACTGGGCACACCATGGTCTTGAAGGTCTGTCTATCCTCCACTGGCTCCATGCAGATGGGGCATTCAGTGTCCAGTTCTGGAGTCACCTGCATGATCTGCACTGGACGGTGCTCAAGGCAGTAGGTCCTGGAGGCAAAGGGATGGGCATAATGAGAAAGATTTGGTCCTTCTCCGGGGGTGGCCAGAAGGGGAGAGGAGTTACCTGTATGGGGTAATATACTGTGTGATACAGCCGCCCTCCTTGGCACAGGGCAGGTGGAACCATCTGTTGCAGTCTTCCTTCCAACACAAGATGGTGGCCCCGCTCTGGCCACAGACGCAGCAGTGCTGGAATGAGTCAAGCAACCCCATCAGCAGCAGCCTGGGGGCCTCCCCAGGAAGCCCCAGGGCTCCGGGCAGGGCGCAGGAAGGGGCCACTGCTGGCGCTCAGCCCACAGAGCCAGCTGGTGAAAGAAGCCCCTGTGCCAGAGCCTCCTTGGAGCTGCTGGGAGCCAGACTTTGTCCCACAGCCGGCTGCATGGCCAGCCTTTCTTTGTGGGGGTCTAGGCTAAGCTCTGGCCAGTCTCTCCTGGCACAAATCTCCCTGCTCTTTTGCCAGGCCCTCACCTTCTGTGCCGCCCGCCTGACTGCAAGCTGGCTATCTTGATGCAGAAAACCCAGGAGTCCAACACGTTTATTTGCTTGCCGAAAAAGCAACGTGGCAAAATACTGCAGAAAATGGGAAGAGCTGATGAGGACAGGGTGGCAGGGACTGCCCATTGCAATGCTGGAGGGAGCGCTTGGAGCCACTCACCAAGCAGAAATGGGCGTAGAGCCCGTATTTCTCTAGTTTGTCGCCGCAGATGTCCAGGTCAGCCTCTGCACGGTGACACAGCACGCATGCTTCAGGGGACAGAGCCAATGGCAGCGGGCATGAGCAGCTCTGTGGGGCTCTCAGCCCACAGCATCAGCCCCAAGGGCTGCTCTGTCCCTGCCTGCGTGCCTGGCTGATGGGCAGGGCTGGAGGTCTTGGAGAGCAGCGGCCATTGCGGGCACGGGTGTCCCAACAGCTGCCCCCTGGCCCAGCTGGGCCCCACTTGGGGAAGAAGAAGGCTTCCAGCCCCGGCCTGGCTGAACAGCTCCTGCCTCCCCCGAGTCTCTGCTCTGGGTCCCACGCTGGCCACTCCAACAGGCCGTGGGCCAGGCTGTGGGAGGGCTGCTTTGCCCTCACCTGGCTCCCTGCCATCAGGGCCCTCCTGCTCCCTGTCGCACATGGCGGCTGTCAGCGCTGAGTCCCTGTGCAGGAACGCCGCTGTCTCTGCCAGGTGCTGGTCCTCTCTCTCTCTGTGGGAGAAAGAAGAGTGTGGGAAGTATGCAGAACAGGCCCAGAGCCACGAGGGTCCTACCGCTGGTCAGCCCTGCGTGAGCCCTGCTCCTGTCCGTTGTCTGCTCCCGTCTTAGCGTTGAGGAACACTGCCGTCTCCTCTGGATCTTCCTTCGCTGATTCTGGGAAGGGAGAGGCAAGTGACCCTGCAGCACAGGCCCAGAGCCCTGAGGTGTGGGGCCCCTCTTGTCCCTGGGCAGCTGCTTCCCTGACTTACCTTCTCCTCCCGTTGTCAGGTCGCACTGACGCATGGCCTGAGCCCAGCCTTCCCTTTTGGGGCTTTGGTCGCACGGCCACTCTGACATCAGCATCTTGCTCCCAAGATTGAGGCAGCCATGGCCTCAGTTGCCTGGCAATCACTTGAGGCCACCCCCTTGGGAATCAAGGTTCTGAGATGGTTCCAAGCCTTTGGTCAGCACAGAACCAGGCCAGGGACTCCTGCAGCAAGTGCAGGGTCGAATCCCAGGCCCCAGAGCAGCCATCGAGGGTGGCACTGTAGGCAGAAAAGTGCTGTTCAGGCACGGCCATGCCAGGGCTCCTGTCCCTGGCAGTCAGTTGCCCAGAGACCTTGTGCAGAGTCTCTTGCACTGCACAGATTCCAAACCTGCTCTTGGTGAACCGACATTTTCCTCAAGACCTCTCTGCAGTAAACTGAGATGAACCTGATTTCATGCCCGTGCTGATCACTGTTGGGAAGAGGAGATAAAGCTGGGGACCACTGCAGCTGCCTCCCAACCTCAATTCTCCTGTCACCTAATGATCTAATGAATTTGACATTTCATATTAAGTGGAAAAATTAGTATTAAGCTCCTGAGAAAGCTCATCCTTTACACTCACTCAATGGAAACCCAGGAAATTCAATGAAAGATTACCTTGTACATCTGACTGGAGAGCTTGCAACAGTACTCAGCTCAGGAGTCAAATGCTTTTCCCTCATTAAAGAACTTTGCCAGTTTGGTCCATGCTTTCCTACCAGCAAATATATTGAAAAAAGTCAAGACAGGACACACACAGCAGTTCTTGTAGAGTTTTTGCATTCACATCTTTGCAAACACGCCCCTGCAAAGTCCAGATCATTGACTTCTAGAACAGTCAGCAGGATCCCAGGGAAACAGGGCAGGGACTGACAAGAAGAGATACCCTGCACCTGCCTGATGCTGGGGCACCAGGAGTTCATCCATGTTCCTGTCTCCAGGGGAGAGCCCCCTTGGGTGGAAAACAATGCCTTCACTGAACTAGGAGGGAGGCACAGCAGGTGCAATGCCAGGGAATGCGTTTACGCAGGAAGCAGGGTGGAGGCAGAGGAAGAGGGGTAAGTTGGGTAGCTGCACCCGGGGCTCTGCAGGGAACCTGTGTCTTGGCAAGGCATTGAAGCAGAAGGAGCCAGAAGAGCTCAGCCATGCAATCCCGAGCTGTGGACACTGTCCTCAGAACCAGGAACCCGTTTGCTTCTCCAGGCCCTGGGAGCTGCTCCTGTGCTCCTGTAAGTTATGCGTTGACTCAGAGCCACCGACTCTTTCTCAATCCTTTTCAGCACTGGACAGCAGGACGCAGTAAAATGTTGTCTCTGCTGCACAATCTAATTATTAAAAGTCCTGCAAAGAAGCAACTTACATTCAAAGCATACACACCAAAAACCCCAAACTCTCGTATAAATCTTGAATTGACGCAAGAAACATGTTTCTATTCAGAAAAACAGGCTCACTTTTGGACAATATTTTTTTCTATTAGATCTTTGAATGGATTTCAAAAGTAACGTTTTTTGGCAAGTTCTTCAAGGAACAAGCAGGAAATACGTGTGAACTCTAAAAGAAGATTAATTGGCTTGTTTTCACATTCCTTTTGGAATCCCTACGCTTCATCCATCATGCCAGAAAATTGTGAAAATCCAACTTAGTATTAGGTCAAGTTTCTGAATTTGCAGTTTGCCTCAAAGACTTTCTTCACATAGTTAAGGAACTGGCTCTGTAACTTACAGAGATGTAGTGGTTCCCCTGACTGGACATCACAACATGACCTTATACATTCCAATATGCAAAACAACTATTCTTGCCTAGCAATTATAAAGCTTCAAGCTCTTCTAGAGGCTTTCTCCTGAGTAACTTCATTAGGTCCCTCTCTGCTCCGCTGTTGAGCCTGTCCAGGTCACTCTGGAGGGCAGCACAGCCTTGTGGTGCATCAGCCCCTGCTTCAGGTTCTGTGCTATCAGCAAACGTGCTGAGGGAACCCTCCATCCCTTCTGCCAAGTCACTGGGGAATAAGGCAAACAAGGCTGGCCCCAGCACGGCCCCCTGAGGTCACAGCCCTCTGAGTTTGGAGCTCCACTGTCCACTTCTCGACCCCACTCTCCCTGAGCTGCCTCAGGAGCATGTTATGGGAGGCACGGACAAAGCCTCGCTGAAGTTGCAGCTGACAACTCAGCCACTGCTCTCCCTGCACAAACCCAGCCAGTTCTTGTTGAAGAATGATCTTTCCTGATGAAAATTTTACATCTAAGATTCCATGGATTTGTTCTTTTTATAATGCAGAATAAGAAAAAAAATATGCAAATTGAAGCCAATGAGAGTTTTTGTCTCGAAAGGACTAATTGCAGAGAGTGTCTAACAGTAGTAATACCAAATCTGAAATTTTTCTTGGTATTTTATGAGGTTCATGAAATAAATGACTTTTCAGGCAAAACAGGAGGTTGTGTGTACATACTCAATACCTTCAGAATACACTTTACTGACAGAAAAATAACTAGCATATGATTTTTATACTCTGAATGTTACTACTCCCTATGAAGTATTTTATAAGTGCATCCTAACTAAATATTAGTGAATAAACAGCTTGTCAGAACTTCACTTTGGAATGCTTTTTTTCTCCATCAAAATGAATTTAAAATTTACATCACAAATGAATTTAGTCCATCCACGGGAAAAAAAAATATAATTACATTGAAATAAATTAAAAAGCAAGAATTACCTTGTTCAGTTTAATTTAATGTCTACATAATATGAAATTTTAAACCAGCAGTCAAAAAAATACATTTTCATAAGGAGTTTTTGTCAACAATGTTCAGTCTCAAGTAAACGAATCTTTGCCATCTTGCTGTAAAATTACACACCAAAAGATCAGACACGTTATGAATGCAGTGACAAAACTCACTTCATTATAATTTATTGCCTATCAGATACTATAACCTACTTTGGAAGAAATTTTGGAAGGGCAATCAATTATGGAAGACACCATCTGACAGTCTGAATACTATATACCACATTAGTCAAAATATTATAATTTTAGGACATGAAGTCGATTCCTTTTTCAGAAATCACAAGTTTAGATCAAAAGTTTTCAAATCACTGTAGGAACCTGTGATATGCCAAAATGTCTGTGTGTACATATGTCACAGAAAAAAAACCCCAAACAACCTTTTATTTACATAGTAGGAAAACTATATAATGTAAAAATCAAATGTAAAAAAAGTGTAAATTTAAATACAGCAAGTTTTAACTGTTGTAGTCTTCATGATATAACAATGTCAGGATGAATTTGTGATGACCAGTGGACATAGGGGAGAAAAAGTTTATGGAAAATAACTTGAATTTTTTCACATATTATATGTAGAGCAAAAAACTTGCACTCCTGGAATCTCTTCTAGTCTTCCAAACTATTACAGTCAATACTGAAATATTTATTTCTCAGGAGAGAAATTATTATTAAATTCCTTAAAAAAGGAAACATTTTCACTTGTTGTGTGCTCAGGAAGTAATGAAACTCCAATCTTTGGTTTTGTTTGCCAAATAATAATGGATGTTTCTCTGAAAACACTTTTCTGCCATAACAGAGAACAAGTTGATAGGTACACTTTGGGAACAGGAGTGTTCTGGCTGAGCTCAGAGAGCATGCAGGGGGCACAATCAAATAGAAGTCATAATCAGTATTATGAATGTGATAGTTCTTGACAAGGATATTTTTTTTGTAAATTTTTTCTTTCATGGATATTTTATGATTCAGGATTAATGTGAACCTAGAAAACTACAAAAAACTGTCTGAAAACAAAGGGAAAATTTCAAACCCAAATCAATATTCTTCTCCGTTGGTCATCACAATTACTTATATTGATTTACTGCATAAAACAGATTTTTATTTTGAACCAAAGGTGTTTCCAAGGTGATAGTGATAGTGGTAATGCTGAAGAACTTATCACTGAGGAAGAGAGGGAGTAGTCTTAATAGAGATGGCCTGTAGGTATATATTTGTATATTGTTTAGAATAGATACATATACATGGATATGTATATTATTTATATAAATACTTATAAAATACATGTACATAAACTCATGCATGTTTTCCTTTTTTCCTAGATTCTAGAATGTTTTAGTGATAGAAGCATTTCTGCTGTCATGAATAAAAGAGTATAGTTTCTAGTGCTTAGGCTAGAAGAAGTAAACATTTGAAAATGGAAACCCTGAAGGCTCAAAACCATTACACAAACAGAGAGAATTGAAAATGTATTTTTAAAATGCATGTTGTTGACAATTCCAATTCCTGTAGTCATATGACCCACATGTCCAGCAGGGATTTTTCACAGAAACCCATTAAAAAGATTCCCCTCTTGGGAACAAAAATAACATCTAAGGCCTTAGGACAGCAGTAACTCTAATTTGCAATAGAATCTTAGGGTATATTCTTCTCCTATCTTCCCTTATAAAATATATTGCTAGCACTCCAGAAGTAATAAACCTACCTAAACCAGCCAGTTAGAGTAACAGATGTGTTATTTAGACTGAATTAAATTTATGCTGAAAAGTGTGGCCATGCAGATTTTTATAATGAAAAGTTAAATTTTTTAACTTCTTGAGCAACAACAGTTATGGTAATATATGCTGTGATTTCTCATGGGTTTATATGCTATTTAAACCGCACACTCTGAACTTCTACAGTATAGAAACATGCTTAACCTCTGAAGAAATTTCCCCTTTATGTAAATAAATAGACATAAATAAATGTATATGTGTACACACAGAGTTAAAGTGTGTGTGTGTAATTGCACTTTTTTTATTTAACACTGATTTCCATAAGAGATGTATTTGATCAAATACTGTTCTAAAAATGCTTACTCTATGGATTATTTTTCAGAAAATTGTTTCTCTCATGCTCTCAAATATAACTTGAACAACCACTAACTGAGCAACTAACTCATTGAAAAGAAAAGAAAAAGGATTTGGGGCTGCATGAGGTCCAGTAAAACATTGTTTCTGATACTAAATATAGAAACTGGTGGGAAATAATGTGTGTTAAATAACACATGTGCCTAGGTGAAGTTTTGTCAGCTCAGTATTTTAGCTCTTCATGAGAGTGAGGTGGCTGTTGGCACACACTGGAGTTTCTTTGAAGATAGATAGCTGCTTGATCTCTCAGCTTCTGGAAACTTTTCTGTTTTTAATAAGTGGAAAACAAAGCACCAGTTCTGTGATTCTTTAACACAAAATTGTAACAAGGAACTCATTCTAAATATAAGTTTTGGCATTAACACACATGTCAGAGTAGTGCTCAATAAATTCTTTTTCATCTACATTAACCTAGTGGTGTTAAATTCTAATGAAAACCCAATAAATAAAATTTTTAAATTAAAAAAATAATAAAATAAATTATATTCAGATCAGGACATAGTGCCAAAACAAAATCTAAAGGCAGGGGAGACGTACAGGAAGGTAGACAAGAATTAATCCAGCATGATTACAAAAGGTACCTCACTCTTTAGACTCGCACAGGTGTGTTCAGAAGTGGTTTTGGGTCTTTTTGAGACAAGAGAAGTATTGCAAAAGGAAATTCAGGCTGCTCAATGATAACCAGGCAGAAGCAGCAATGGCAGAGTCCCACATTTGTGGCAAGCCCGGCCAGTGGGCATGGTCTCAGCATGTCGTGCATTGGCAGGAGCAGTAACTTCAGCCTGCATCT